AAGAGTGAAAATTCCTCTTCGGATTGTTTCCGTCGACCTGCCACTGAGGTTACCATTTAAATAAATCCTCGACCACCAAATAGTTATCAATCCTCCAAATGAGCATCGGGACCCCAAATTAATACCGAATGACCACTAATTATCAAAAATCGAGTGACCCACCACTGGGGTCGAACACCGAGAATCGAGAGACCATTTAGGTCGAATCCCAGAAATCGAGAGACCGTTTAGGTCGGAAGCCAAGAATCGAGAGACCGTTGAGGTTGAAAACCGAAGACCCAGAATCGAGAGACCTGCCTCTGAGGTCGAACGCCGAGAATCGAGAGACCTGCCTCTGAGGTCGAACGCCGAGAATCGACAGACCGTTGAGGTTGAAAATCGAAAATCGAGCATCGAGAGACCGTTGAGGTCGAAAGCTGAGAACCGAGAATCGAGAGACCTGCCTCTGAGGTCGAACGCCGAGAATCGAGAGACCATTTAGGTCGAACCCCAGGAATCGAGAGACCGTTTAGGTCGGAAGCCAAGAATCGAGAGACCGTTTAGGTCGAAAAACAAGAACTGAATGACCACTCCCTGAAGTCTTGAATTTGAAAATTTGAATTTACGTATGTTGTGTTTCGATCACCATGTTCGAGTTCTCTTATACCACCTCGTCCTATCGCCCCTTAGTTCAAAAGTTAAAATTAAAGCCTGTTGTATATTCCTGCTCGTGACAGAATGAATCCTATCTCCCTGCCTTTGAAGTCGAAAAATCAATTCGACAAAGCCAAGATAAAACGCGATCAACCTGCTCGTGCAGTAATAAATCCTGTCTCCCTGCCTTTGAAGTCGAAAACAATTCGACAAAACCAAGATAAAACGCGATCAACCTGCTCGAGCCATCATGAATACTATCGACCTGTCACTGACACTACAAGAAATCTGCCAAAAAGTGACGAAAAAATTTGTCATAAAAAATTGAATTTTCGTCACCAAATCTATTTGATGACGAATTTTGAGTGTCACAGCGTTCGTCACTATAGCCGCGTCATAATAGGTCTATATGACACTTTTTAAATTTCGTCATTTAATGTTAAATATTTATGACAAAAAACGGTGTTGTCATTGTACGTTGGTGGATTTGGTGACGTTTTACATGTCACATTTACCATTAAATTTTGTCACCACATGATTAATTTGTCACTAAAACTAAATCTTTATATGACAAAAATGTAATGTTTCGTCATCTAAACAGTCGTATACGATGA